TAAAAATGGAGGAGCAAATAACGATTTAAAAGCTAAATGTTTTTTCAGGTGTTACTAATGCTCTCCTCCCACCAGCCATTGATCATATGCATTTCATGATATAGCCTCTTCTAACTCTTCTATAGGTCAGGTCTTTTTTTAATTTTGTCATGTATTTGATAGAATCCCTAAGACCAACTCTGCATTAGAAATAAGAAACATACACAGCTTTCGAAATGCATGTTGCATCGAACCACGTGATAACAACCATAAGAAGCTGCTTGTATCCCGTACCTTAATTTTGAATTCAAATTCTTGTTTAAAACTTGGACCAAAGATGTATATGCGGAGTTTGGTTTCCTTTCTTGCTTTCCTTGGATATGTTGTCGACCCAGCGGCACCAACCTGTTATTTATTTTATTTGGCTTGTTACATTGTGCAGCTTGCTTGTCTTTTTTGCTTTCTTAGCTGGTGGTTTGTCTAGGCTCTTATGGAAATGTAACCTAGGCTCATTAAGGACCTTAAAATATAAATTTTCTACAAAAAATTTTAATATTAAAAGATTCAAAATAAATCAAAATTTTGGATTAAAATCTTTCATCTATTTAAAATAGGCACTTACTTTCCTACATAGCCTTTAGACCCATTTTAAACCGAGCTGCATACCATGACAATATTCCAAGTCATCTCTAATAGGGCCTCAACATTTAAATTCAATTGTAAATAATTGCATCATTTTGCATGTCTCGAATAAGAAGCCCATAAACTCCTTCAATGATTAAGCCCATACACAGATTTCGAAGCCCATGTCCAGAACAACTAGGGTATTAGAGGCTCCTCCGCCCCAAACAACGATGTATGTCCTTTGTGAGGTGGTTACAGTTATGTAGTTGGACCCCTCTCCTCTTCTCCTTCCTAGAGGCATCTTTTTCATTGAATTGATGAGTATAAGTCCCACCTTTACGTCATCCACTCCTTAGAGAGTGATAGGAAATGTTGAGGTCTCTTTCCTTTAGCTTTAGGACTGCCGAGGTCTCCTTAGAAGAAGGAATTCATGAATTACTGGCTAGGAATCCTTGGTCGGATTAGGTCAACTAATTTTAAGACTAGGTAGACATAGAATCTCCATAGCTTAAGTTGACATATCAATTGTATACCGACATTGCTACCTCTACCTAGTTAGGGATTCATCCCCTTTCCTATTGACACCTCCTTTTAGCCTTGTCACTCCTTTAAAAAATTGTTGATATCATCTCTAGCACATGGTACTTTTGTTACCATTATAGCTCACACCAAAAGACCAGTGTATGATAGTGATGCACCACACCGTCCCTCAGTCTTATCTAGACTCTAAGGTCGCCCATTCATTTTTTCTAGGATTTCTACACCTATGGTGAGCACTCCATCAAAAAGTTTTAGAGGCACCACCAAGGTGCCAGCTTTTGTTGGATCCACTGTTGTCCTAGCTTCTTTTGTTCCTCATCCCTATGAGGCTTCTCCTACCCCTAAACTGGTAGGAGGGCATTAAGCACTAGAATTAGATTGCTACGTGGCTAGCAATAGAGCCTTCCACAAGTTCCGTCACTTGTTTTGGCTTCAGACTGGGATGAGGTTAAAATTCTGTTGGCTGAGAACTAATTCTCTGTTCTGATGGGCTGTAGTGACCATGTCTTAGTTGGATTACTAGAAGGAACTCGTCTCCTCGAGACATGTGTCATCTAAAACCAGTAGTCAATGTTTCTTCCCCTGCTTATCTTCTCTTTGTGGGATGGGGCCTATTAGTGAGGAAAAATTCCTTGCTGAGGTTTCTTAAAAGTCCAAGCAAGCCATGAAAGACTTTCCTTACTTTCTTTAAGTTCCTTATAGTAGGAGACCGAGGTCAACTCTCCAGTGCACTACAAGGCCTGTATATTTGTCATTTTTCATGCAAGCGGTAGAGCCAACTGAGGCGTCCTATGGGACACTTGGTGTGGTGGCTGCAGTTGTTGCATCGAATTTCATACCTGTTACTTCTGAGAAAAAAGTTGTAGCGCCATCTCTTGCACCTCTAATAACCTTAGCTTATAGTAACAAAAGAAAACGATTTTAGAGTATTTTTTCCTCTTCTTTAAGAAATAAATTAAATGAATGTATCAGAATCTAATCAAGGTAGATATGGGGGTTACCCTTGTTGATAAATGTCTCATCTTTTCAAAAACAAATATGTAAGAAAGGATTATATCTGTCCTACTCCAAACAGAAAGTAGTGGGTCAAAAAGACTCCCATCAATATTACTCTTATTGTTTTAGCTCTAATTGAGGATGTTGTTAAGGTCTTTCCAGATAGAACCTTACCTTTAGATGATATTGCCTTTGTGTCATTTCAAGTAAATATCAAGGTAGAGTCAGGGATGAATCCTAATGGTGATTTTGATGAAAATCTCTCAGATATTTAGTAAGTTATTCTCAATAGGATAACCTTCTCGGTGAAGAGCTCCATGATTTTTAAATGGCCACTCACGACGTGATGGAAATAACCATTAGAGGAGGAGCTTCCTTTGGTGGGAATCCCGCCCGTGATCCCGATGAGCCGAATCATCACAAGTCCACTGGGATTCAAGATGACGATTCAATAGATCATGAACGAGGTTATCTCCCTTCTTCAAGATCAAATTGCTCTTTTAACAGTCTGTATTACATCTGTAGAGGTCAATAAGGTTGGGTCTGATGTAGTCTCTCCTGTTACAAAGGTTGAGGCACGTCTTGATACATCTGTTAAAGCCCCCGCGCCTGCGAGGCATGTCCATGCATCATTTTCTAATGTCATTTTGCAAGAACATGCCACTTCTAAATCTCATTTGCAGTCCTTAATGGATGCAAGGATTAGAGCCTTGGCAGCCCAACAGATGAAAATTACCATAAGGAAATGTAGACCATATCTTAAGGCTTACGAGTTCATTTTATTTCCTCAAGGTTTTGTCCCTCCATGATTCAAACAATTCACTGGGTATGGAAATCCCGACAATATGTCACCAATTCCGAGCGTTTTGGTACAACATCAGTGACAACGATGCCTTGCTACTTCTTTTCTTCGTCACTAGCTTGTCAAAGTTTGTGTTTGAATGGTGCTGATTTACCAAATGACACCTTCAGAACATTCTCTAAACTATATGATGCATTCATAAAGTGTTTTGTTGGGTCGCACCACCATGTTACCATGAATGACTTGATGTTAGCCCAACAGAGGTTTGGAGAGTCATTGATAGACTTTGTTATTCATTGGTGAAATTTGAGCATGTAATGCAAACCCCAACTTTAAGAGCAACATGTTTTTCTTATGGGCAAGATCAAATGCCCAATTTAAATCTTGTTAAAGATGACTATTTTCAAAACTTTCAAGACTTTGAAAGAAAAGTGGATAGCCTGTAAGATAGAACAAGGGCCCGAACCTTTAAAAATGATGGCAACAAAGCAAAAGGTAAGAAGTCATTTGCAATTGGTCCTTTGAAAAGGACAGAAGAGAGCTTGGCACTAACGATATTCAATAGCAAGCTAAACAAGTTTATCATGTCCACAAGGCCTGCTCCCCTACCTTCACAGAAGTAGAAAACCCAAATACTTGAACAAAAGAAGTCAAAAACTTACCCTCTAAAAGGGACTGCAAAATAATAAATTCAAAAAACTTATTAAATAGGGTATGCAGTTGCCTCCACAAATGAGGCCAAATCTGGAGAGTTTGTAGGAACCCAATTTTTTCCCATATCATCAGCATTTGTGGCATACTCTCTAAGACTTTCACATTTAAAGATTAGCTCGAAATGTGATGCAAAACCAGGTAGATTGAAATCCCCAAATAGTTCTTGGTGAAGCCTCTTGGATAAGGATCAGCCAAAGCCATTGAAACCACTATAATCATGTTGATTACCGATTCAGAGGCAAGTGATATTTTATTTCCTTCTACTTATGATGAATTTAAAAGTTCAAGATGGGGTTGTAATGTCCCTCCTGATACCTTTTGTATATAATGTATTTAATAAGAAATATAAAACTATCAATATAATTCCCAAACAGCAATTTAAAAGGATGAAAAAATTGTGCACCGTCCCGTAAAAGAGGAAATTCATAAAAAACAATCCGATATTATCAAAATTGGCAGACTAGTTTTAACCAACATTAGTATTGACTAAGTTAATTCTGTTGTTTTATCCCACTTAAATTTCACCACGTTCTCAATATCAATTTTCGGTTTATACTTTCTCGCATATGCAATCGTCGTCTTACGGAGAGGATTACTTAAAAAAACCCCAAAAAAATTCTTTTAAAATTCATCTAAATACCATCCAGCAATGCAGCCCGAAATATTATTTTGATACTCCTAAAAATCACTCCTACTACGTCTAATTCCGATAAAATAGTGTCATGCAAATTCTAAAGAAATTGACCAACTAATCCATATACTAAAAACCATACTGTAAATTTCAGAAAAGAACCAAACAAGATGATAATTCAACGCACAGGATATGAGACTACAAAATATCCTACTGCATTTTGTGTGGAGGCGTTACCAGTTTTGAACTATAAATTGTTATTTAAACCATTCGATCTCACTAACAAAGCATATGACGAGTAATAAAAGCAAAACTTTAGAACAAATCGAGTCAAGTAGTTTTCAAACAGAATGAATTTTCTTCTGCATCAAAGGATGTAGCTGCAATTTAAAAAATCGCGCAGTACATCCACTTGAACAGAACTCTGAAAAAATTTACAATTTCTGTCTTCGAAACAGCTGAGTTTCTGCATTTCTGCAGAGCTGAGATTTGATTCTTAAATACTTGCTCGCCTGCGACTTTGTTTGAACTGTCTCAAGAAAAGAGAATAGCAGAACCTGCATAGCCAAAAATAAAAATATAAAAAATACATGAATTTCATTAAAAAAGGATCAAAACCCCAAAAAACTTAAATGCAGTGATCATCTTCACCAGCTAGATGATAGAAATATTGGACCGGCCTGTGTAAATTACGTTCAATGGATGAATGTTTTCGAATGTTTTTAATGGCGTCCCCTCTTATACAAAGAATAGCCAATAAGGGCTGATAAAACGAAGGTCCACAAAACCTGAAATTTTGATACAACAGTGTTTTATATTCCCAAATCTGATGCACAAATATTGAGGTTATTAGTAGTATATGATGAAAAAAGAAATGTAGAAGTGAAGATTACCAAATCAATCGTATACCATCTCTCTAGTTTCTTTATCCTATATTGCAGGTCTTCAATGGCACTATCCACGGGCAGAATTTCTCTACTTGGTGAAGACTCTATGCTGAAGCTCCCTCCCTGACTAGTGTTCTTTAAAGAGTTATTAAGAACAACCAAAATTATGTACATCCAATGAAAGAAATTCGTTAAAATTGTAAAGCATTACAGAAATCATAGACAACCTGGAAGAACCTTTTTAAAATTAGAATTAAGGGGTATGAAAAATAACCAAGTTAATATTTTTCAGCAAAGATGAATTAGGTGCATACTTGAGCATATTGACGTTGAAAATTAATTCATTATTCAGTTTAATAAACAAGAACAAGCAATGGAAATAGTTTCTGGTGGCATATCCAATGACACACAGATGCAACTAATGAAGTCATTTCATTCAGATCCCAAGTTATGAAAGTTGAAATAGATGATGATTGCAGAAATTATAACCTACAAAAGACCAACTTATAAGCTTATTCAGCGATGTGCCGCGTTCATCTTATTCTCTTTTCTATTATTTTATTTGTTAACATTATTGTTATGACAGGCCACTCTATCACATTTGCTTTACCATATTCAATATTCATCCTTCCTCTTCCTTTGTACTTTAGAATGCTGTATAAGCTTATAGAGTGAGGCCAACTGACAGTGCTAGATTTCCACAGCAAGTCATATAGGGCTTATCACAAATCTTCATAAACATCAGCAGCAGCAGAGTTATATAGTCTTAAGAGTTTTCCGATTATAATTGGTTGAAATTCATTACTGTCACCTGATTTAAAAAAGTTTATCATATGAACTTACCTTTGTGCTTAAATTTTATTCATTTACTGACTGCTAACCTATTGTCCGCCATAAGAACCTTAAGATACAGGCTGAAGACTGCCACTGAAAGGTTTTTAGTTCCATTAAAGTGTGTAATCTATAAAAGAGATAATTTGCTGATTAAACAAATAGGAACTTTTCTGTCAGAATTTATAGTAGCAGAGTACCACTGGCATGTCATTAACATGTATAATTGAAATCAAGCCAGCAGAAGAATGCAGCCCAGGAATTAAACCATATGCCAACAAAGAAATCAGTAGGTTAATTAAACTACTGCTAGTAATAATTATCCTAGGAAATATATGGCGGTTGGCGGATATCCTCCAAAGTTGTTAGGCAATATCAATATGAACTGCAATTATATGTATGCACTTTAAAAAACAAAAATAATAGTTCAAAAACATCACCGACTTGGGATTGAATAAATTCCACAAGTTCTTGAAGCCTAGCAGCTTGTTGACAATGAATTCCGTTGGAGCTTCTTTCAGAAGATGGTAGGCTTTCTAGGATAATTTGAAGATATGTCTACAGAAAAAAAGGCATTTAGTTAACACATCAATCAAATAAATCATCCAAAGATAAATATATTCACATTTATAAAGAGAGAATGTTACAGAAGATTACTTTTGTGGTGTATGAACCATCCAAACCAAGAATGGTGGCAGCAGCCATCACAACTTCTTTATTTGCTCCTTTAATTTGGAGATAGGGGCTTTGTGCAGCTTGCAAATGATCAACCTCAACAAGGATCTGAACATGTAGTCGAATGAGGAAGGTCATTATAATGTTATGGTTGTCACTAGAACCAAGTAACATGGAACCTAGAGTACATTCCGATGAAAAATACGGAAAGCGTAATAGGATACAACATTAAATAAATTAGAAAACACAGAATAAGATGATTCTGTCTGGAAACAAAGAAAATTTAGAACACGGATAGACAACAACACAGAAAAACAGCTTGCAGAACACAAACTATTAGATACTACTTGCAAGCAAGATTGTATTTATCAAGACAATTCATTAGCCCTATCATCTCTTCTAGTTTGAAATGTTTGCTAGGGGTTTTGGAAGTTAAAACTAGCTGCATTGCGTGAATAATTTATTCCTCTGGAGATCCCGATAAGCTATTCTTGTTCAAGCAATAATAGATTTGCTACTAATATTTAGCCAAAAGTCCCATTGATGCAATATCAAGCTGCCACATGGACGGGGTGGATCTTACAAAACATCAAATTTCACTATTAAGGTAGGATGCTTCGTCTCCTCCACATGATAAGATGATGAGAATTTTGACTATAATTTAATGTCCAGTTAAATTCGATAGTAGCAGTAGTAATTTGTTTTCCAGTGTTCTCTGTTGATATGCCATGACAATTTTTGTTGTATATATCTTAAATTGATCTTGTTATGTAAGATTAAATCTGTCTTAAAACTTATATTATGGTTAAATATTAACATTGTAAATAAAAGTGGAAGGAGAAAAATAAATGAAAGTTTTAAATAGGACTTGAAATAATTTTGAAGGGAGGATAAAATTTGGTTATGGTGATATATTTTGTAAACCTTGATTATAACGTATGTTCTCAAACTAGGTGAAGAAAAACTAATTAAGTACATAATATATAAATAATGTTATTAAATAATAAGGTTAATCAAAGAACAAATAAGATGAATAAATATGTTATCTGTATGAGTATATGTGCTCAATTAAAGGACATGGAAACGAAAAAGACAAACTATTAATCAAAAGTCAAGGTCATGTTTCGGATCTATAGAAAAAATATTATTTTATTCTAAACCAAAAATAAGATAATACTAATATTTACTGAAATAAATTGATTTTATAGTTTGATCAAGATTTATCTATTTTATTGATGTATTGGGCAAATTAAAATGTCGTAGACTGATTAAATATATTTATTATGTAAATTAGTTATTACATGAATATATTAAATGAGAAGAAAAAAGTGAATGAAATGAACTATATCAATATCTTGCATGTGCATATTGAGTAAAGGAGTTCATCCTCTTATGGTGATAGTTAGAGATGCTAAAATATCTGTGCATGTAAATTGAAAAAATACATTGATACTGAAGTACTTTCGAAGGTACATTTTAAACGATGATTCTGTGAAGCTTTGTTTCTTATCCTCGAGAGACCCGAAGAGAGGGAGAGGAACCGAACAAGTTGATAAACGAAAGGAACTTTTGTTCTATAAACCAATGTGAGATTGAGGCGAAATCGACATAGCCGGAGAGTTGAACGGTGCGTGCGAAGGCATGAGATTGACGAGTGCAAGCTAGGGCTTCCACAAGCATAGATCAAAGCTTAAATAAATGATGCTAGGGCTCGGCGAGGAAGAGGAAGCTAAAGAAAAAAAGCTTCAAGCGGCTCTGGTGCGAAGGTCAAATAGCTCTGTGGGAAGAGGCCTACGACTCAAGGAAGAGGAGTGGTGCCCTGGCCGATCAAAGGAAGACAAGAGAAGGAGCTCTCATGCATGTAGGAAGGAGGCGAATCTTGCGTGGAGAGGGGAAGGAGAAAGATCTCCAAGTGCGGGAAGGAGAGACAAAACATTTTAAGGGTAGGGGTTTTAAAATATTAATTTATTAATTTAATAATTTATTATATATTTGATTATTAATTATTAAAAGCGTCGTTTATTTAAATTAAGGTTCAAGATATAGAAGTTTCAGATTTAGATCAAGGAAAGATTGGCAATAGCAAGAAAGGTAAAATTTTTATTTCCAAAAAATATTTTATATAAATTAATAATATTTAATATTAATATTAATTGAAATGATTAAATTTAAAGTTTAAGCATTGAAATCAAAATTACAATAATGTAATAAAATAATAATTAATAATTAAATTAAACTATAATTAAGTAATATGATAAAAATTTAGTAACATAAATATTTTATATTTTGTAGGTGTTAATTTGAAAGAAGTGAAAAAAAATTAAGAGCAACCAAATCGTCTATAATCGAGATGAGACTCTCACTCTTAGATTTATAGTAAAACTTTGTTTCTTCTCAATCAATTGTATTAATAATTATTGATTTATAAAAAAAATTCATGTTACACTTTATCCTGATTATGTACTCTTCTTTTTATTGGTCATATTTGAATGTTAGGTCTCCTTATAATAAAAATTATAACATATTATCTAAAGATACATAAATTATATTGTGCATCATTAGATAAGCATATGAA